AAAAAAAAAACTGTTCCGGTTTCTTTCCACCCGCCGGGAGCCCGGGGGAGGGGCTCTCGGGACCCGCCGGGCCGGGGCTTGTGTCTTACCCCCTTTGTGAGGTGCTGGGTTCTTAAAGGTGTGGATGTGGTCTGGATGTTGTCCTGTGTCCTCTGGTCTCTATTTTAGGAAGAGTTTTCTTTGTTATATTTTCATAGATCTATGTGTTTTTGGGAGGAGATTTCCACTGCTCTACTCATGCCGCTGTCTTGGCTCTGCCTCTATGAAAATTTTTAAGGAGTACTACAAATATGAAGTGCACTTTTATTGCATCATGAATGCATCTTATCTACATGGCTTATTTTTGATGATGTTAAACTTGGTAACTTTGTGTTGTCTGCCAGATTTCTCCACTATAAAGTTATTGTTTTTCCCTGCTCAACACCTTCTTATGGACAGATCCCTAGACTCAGCATATGCAAAACAAATTCATGATGCTCACCATCTTCTCAGAGACCTGCATCAGAAGCCAGGAAGTCATCGAGCCCTCCCTTTTGTCTCTCACTGCCACCACTTCCAAATTTCCCTACTCTCTCTATTAATATTTGTTAGCTACATTATTGACACACTTCCAGTTATAGAAGATTGAAGGTTTGACACTTGGAGGTTAAAATAAAACTCCCAAAATAATATTAATAACACACAAATCATATTGATCAAGACAACATAAAATGCCCCAGGAGAAAGCTAAAGAATTAAAAATGAAACCCAAAGTGTTCCTTGGCAAAACAAACATCTTGATAAAACTAAAACTAGCAAACACGGTAAAGTGGAAAACCTTTCCCTCAAAGAAACCTGAGCCAAATTCTAAGGCAGATGCTCAATAATAATTTACCCCTTCTCCCTTGCAAACCAATGAACAGGCTGGGAGCCTACTATTTGGTAAGGATTAATTAATGCTTGTTGCATGGTTAGAAATATGAACAAATGATTAAATCAGTCCAATTTCTCAAAGATCTGAGTGCCCTATTGTTGTAAGAGAAGAGAGACAACAGGCAAAACTTAATCCAGGGACCATTCTCCTCCAACTCTAGAACTTGCCAGTGTCAGGGACCTGCTTCAGCGGGAATCCGCTGCAGTCCCTCCCATGTAGTCTGGTGCTGACTCAATTCAGTGAGAGGAGCTTGGCCTTAACAACCTCTGAGAAACCCCACTGCAAGCCTCCCCAAGTCTCTTCTTGAAAGTTTCTAATGCTCCAGAACTGCCTCAGGTTCCTACCAAATCTTGTAGAATTCAATTAGATTTAGGCAAGCTGATCACTTGATTAAATTATTCTTAGGAAGGTGTTAATTTTAAAAGATGAGCTTGTCAAAATATGTGACTTAATTGGAAGAGTATATTTGGAGGTATTTTTGAACTGCTTTTTGAACTGTGTGGTTATTTATACATAAATCTTAACCTATGTCTTTCAGGTTCTTCCACGGAGTATCTAAGAAGGATTGTATAAAGAAGCCCTACAAGTGTCAATAAAATCTTGTTTTCTTACTTTTGTTACTGCCAGTTATGAACTACTCTATTTCCTAATATTGTTATGACTTAGGAAAAGTGTGTTAAAACTCTGATATAATGTCCCACCGTGAAAATGAGTTGGGTAAGTAATTATTATGACTTACTGAAGGTTTTTGAGAAAGGCTATGAAAGAGGACAGTGGAAACTACTGAGAGCCAAGAACTTAAGTGACCAGTAGGTGTAGGTGCCCCTGGGAATGTGGAGAAATGAGAATGGCTGCTGGGTGGGTGCTCCCAAGCCAGAGGAGAGACCCTACAGACACCAGGACCAGTCAGGTGCGCATGCAGGTATTTTTATCTCTGCTTGTTTGCACAAACATGCACAGACCCACACAGGCATGCGCACACACACACACACACACACACACACACACACACGTTACTCAATCTATTAGTCTGGAAAAATATCGCTTTTATCCATATATAATTATGTGAAGGAAATCAGAATTTGAGTACCCAATATATGTTTCTTTGGTGTAAGAATTCTTTTGAACCAAAGGCAAGTAAGAAGGATCAAACCCAGCACTTTTCTTCCAAAGCATAGAATTAAAAAAAAAAATCCTCTTTTACCATGGGAAAAAGAGAGAGAGAAAAAGAAATCAGTCATCCATGTAAGCCCATGGAAAGTTATCCAACTTTTTATTATCCTGAAAATTCATAAAATCAACAATTGGGAAATTAAATTGGTGCCTTTCTAACATGCAGAAGTTAAGCAAAGAGAGTAATGTTATTTTTTCTAATGGTCAGTAATGAGATGCTCTGAAATGCATCCCTACCTTAAAGCATGGCAACATGCATGTAAACATGCATGCATAAATGGATGATGACACAGGAATAGCAGCGCCTGTAGTTGAGACAGGCAGCCTTCAGGGAGAGTTGGTTGGGGGGGGAGGGGGGTACGGCCAAGTAAGCAGTAGTGGGGATTAAGAAAGATAGAAACACATGCAGGGGAACAAGATATTCTGGAGGCCAAAGTTAGAGTTCAAAAGTTTTAAAAGTAAAAAGTTTTAAAAGATAAGGGTGTTAGAGTTAATAAAATTACAAGTCCCAAATAGGCTGGAAAAGATGGCAGGATATGTATCAATAGTAATTGACAGTTTAAGCTTTCTTAAAACCACAGAGATTATCTTGGCTATTTGATCCTCTTTGAAAAGCTGTGTTAAAGGGACTAACATCTAAGAAAATCAAAATATGCAGAGAAGGAAACAATAACTATGCTCCCTCTTTCTTTTAAGATTTTGGCTGGGAATTCAGTAACAAAAGACAGACTAGTAAGAGAAAAACAAGCAAAAGATTTTTAATATATATACATGGTAGATACCCAGGAAAAAAGTGAGCAACGCAAGAAGGTAGTTTAGAATTCAGCAACTGCAACAAAAACAATTCATTTTATGAGAAATGACAGGACAAGGGGAAGCCGCTTTAGTTTCCAAAGGCAGTCCACTGTAGGAAGGTATATCTATGTGCAAGGAATGGCAGATAAAAGTGGTTAGCAAAAATCGTATGTAGATTCCTCTGATGTCATTTTCAGGGTAATTGGGTCTAAAGTTGTCTCCAGTGATTTTGTGCTTTCTGTTAGAGAAGAAAGCAGGGACACCTTTGAGAATTTTTGTTCTGCTTTAAGGCAAACAGGGGAAGGGCAAGGTTTCCATATATTTCTTTCTTCTCAATTGTCTTCAGCTCAGAATAGTCTTTAAGTTAAAATGGCATGTTTGGGAGAAGCATATTCTATCACCTTTCAAATATCTGAAAATTCAGCCTCAAAAGTTACCTCAGTATATTACTAAAATCCTGGTCAGATTGAGGAATTTACTAAAATAATATAAATCCTTCCATATTTTAGGGAAAAGCATGTTGAAGTAGGAAAATTTATAACAAATGCAGCAACTTTTGCTGATGTATGTTTGCCATTTATTTATTAAAAATGCTTTAGTAATATATCTTCATAAATACTGAATTCAGATTATGAATGATTTTACTGATTTTAAATTTAGGTAACAAATACTTCAACAATAGGTGTGCTTTAATCCAAGTTAAAATGAAAAGTGTAGGTGGTTGGAGATAAAAGTTCAGTGTTTATGTAACATTCCCCAAGTGCTAGATATTGTAACTGAAATGGGAATAAATAGATGGGTAACATTCAGTCTATACATAATTCCAAGATAATAGAGGCCTAAGAAAGTGCACCCTGAAGAACAGGGTAGCTCTTTCAGAAACCCTTATAGAATGTTTTACAGGGACTTTAGTGTAGACAACATGTTTTTTCTCTTTTCTCTTTTCTTTTTTTTAAAGGGGAAAGCGCGAATGCAGTCCCTCACTACTAGAAATGATGCAGTCAAGTTTTCCACATTTGGGGAAATTGCAGGGGTCAGCACAACCAGAATGCAATGGATAAACCTCGCCCTGGGAAAACCACCTTCGTGATCATGGTATTTCCCCTGCCAGGTGGGACATGTTTTAAAGGAGAACTAAGTTTTCTCCATGGTGGTGGAGGGGATTAATAGGTTCAAATATAGTTTTTAACTTCAGGATTTTTAAAATAAACACAAATCTTAGGGAACTACTTTTTTCCAAGCCCTTTGAACATTTTACTGACTACTTATACAATATCTGTTAAGGCAAAACATCTTCAAATACCATTTAATTGAAATGGAAAGCTGACACTTAACGGTGAAAGCACCATGAATTTGGTATCTCAAAGTAAAATAGACAATGGAAAGCACTAGAGAAAAAAGCATTTCAAAGTGATCCTATTCACAGGAAGTCTTCACAAGCTATTAGTGTATCAGTCAGTGTCACAGTGTCTCTCCTGCACTGACCTGCAGGTCATTTTATTATCTGATTCCAAGAGTTGCAGTTGTGGATGGTACTATTTGCTGAAAGGTACAAGAGAGTAAATTACACTGTAAGGAAAAAGTCAAGATCTTACACTGAAATAAACACCAATGTGCCTGTTACTAAATATAATTCAAAATCAAATGGAAAGTTTAAAGGCACTGCCATAGAATGTTAAGTCCAGTGAGAAACAGATCCTAAAGGAGGATTAAAAACTGGATGACATAGTACAAATCTGGCATAATTCCTACTATTATGAATGCAATTTCTTCGTCATTTATCAATGCCATGTTAGATGCCTTTAATCACATATCCAAGACATCTATAGGTTATAAGCATTACGATTTATTATTTTATCATAACCAGGATTATGGGAGAAGCTATTATTGCAATGTAAAGAAATGTGGAGCCACGATTTCAGGAATTTAGGGTACTAAAATCCGCAAGACATGTTTCAAAAATGACATAAACGCACAAGCAAAAAGTGACCAAATTTTGGATGTATGAGGAATCAAATTCATTCTGCCCTATAACCTAAGAAATGAGCTTCTTTGATCTTAAAAATAGCACCTATGACTAATAAAGACATGTTTCCAAGATAAACAGATTGTTGTACCCCCTCGGACAATCCTCTTTAAGTCCCTATTACCTGGACAGCAGGTCTAGCCATACAGTCCTGGCTGCTTCCTTCTGCCTGCAGTCCAGCAATTCACTGACCTTGTACTTTTTGTTTTCTTGTGACCCAACAGAACCCTCACCCTAATGGCCTGTAGCAGAACAGACACACAAACAATTCTCCAGAATCATGCACCCACATACACATACAAATGTCCCAATTAAACTCACTTAAAAAAAATTTGCCAAAGTCAGAGTCCATCTGTGTGACACATTTTGGAGATAACTTTTATCTCTGATGTCCTTTTTCTATGCTGAATTCCACTCATCACTGGTGAATGACAATTCTTTGTGGCAGTTGCTGAGTAGAAGGTCTTCGAGCATCAAGAACAACTACTAGACAAAGGCTCTTTTACCTCCTGATATACAAATTCTGATTGCATCTGTAGACTCTTGCTTCTTCACATCAGTAATGACAGGGGTTGATTTACATAAGTAAATGGGCCCGAAAGTTTTTCTACACCAAGTAGAGAAAGACTAAAAAGCCAATTTTTTTGGCTTATGATAACCAAGTCTGTGTCTTTTAGGGAACAAAAAGTTTTGTCTATTGAAGAAGCAAAGACAGGATCAAAATGAGAAAGACAACAGTAAATGCAGGTCTTGAGCATTAGCTATGAGCCCTGATAGATAGTTCTAGTTCTCTTTCATGAAAATCAGTGTAACTCTTAACGTGGACTTCACCTTGGAATCATTAGGGAACCTTTTATAAAATGAGGCTCCAACACAGTTAGTCAGACGATTATTTAGAAAAAGAAAATCCCAAGGTTGTTTCACTGTGTAGATAAGATGGAGAGCCACTGAGTCAAAGTAACAAAAATAGTTAGAAAATTGCCTATTGAGATACATATGTTAATCCATGGCCAGGTATACATTGGTCATACTGTTTTATTCAGATAACACTTCTCTTTGGTGGTGTTGTTTATCCCATTATTGAAGTTTAGCCTGTTACTCTGGCACCTTTCCCACCCAAATGATCTTATGGGAGTCAATATTTTGCTTACTTCAGCCTTTCCTCTCCCTTAATGTTAAACTCCTTTTATTTGGTCTTCATTAAATATATAAAGATATATATTCTGCTTCAAGTCAACTTTTGAAGAAAACTTGATACATGTATTCAATTATGGCAAGCTCTCATGAGAGACTGGATAGAAATGGTAGCAGTGACTCAATGGGGAAAAATGGACAGAACCGAAGAGATAGTAGGATGCAATTGTCTATATTTCTCATGACACATTATCCTCCTATCAAATATATTTGATATCAAAGATATTAAATACTTATCAAAGATATTAAAATACTTATGTCTATTGATAAATACATATTTACCACAAAAAAATGTTGAGTGAGGTTGTCTAACATAAATATTAAAATGCTGATGCTAGCTGCAATATTTTTGGCAATGGGAAGTTATAGAAGGACATTAAGGATTGCCCAGAAATGAGCTAAAAGGAGATGATAAAATTATTGCTGGAAAAGCAAAACATGCAGGTTAACGGCAGCCCCAGAGAAGTATACCTTCAGGCCCAACTTCTCTGTCAAACAACTCACACTTCTCCATGACAGACAGATTCTGAGTACAAGAATTTCTGCTGATACTTGGTCTCTCATAGTAGGGTGGAAAGCAATCTCTAGCTTCCATCTAAACTATATGGTATTTTCTTTAAGCTTTGTGTTTGTAAGTTACAGTCTTAATTCTTTTTTTGATATTCTGGTTGCCTGGAGACCCAAAACAGATATTCTCTGCATACTAAAATTCAGATTGCATCACACAACTCATCCCTTTCCCACTAATTTTATGTTAATGCTGCACTTGGTGGCTGGTTTTTACACCTTACTTTTAAGGTGGTTATGTGTCCTGAGATTGAGCACACCTATTGTGTCAGAATAATCATATGGTGGTCATTATGACATGAATTGGATCAAGGGATTAGAAAAGTAGAATTTCCTTTTTTTTTTTTCTTTTTTAAACTGAGAACCTTCAGGCCATAATGAGAAGAAAGAATCAATATTTGTTGGTTGCTGATCTCTAACTTCAGGTCTCTACTAAAATCAGAATGTATTTTACCCTAGAATATTATTACTGCCTCAGGTAAGACAAAAACTCCCATACAAAACTCATCCAAAGTTTTTGGTGTTATTCATGTGGACCTTATGAGTGAAATGATCTGCAATAAACATTTGTCTTTCTGAGTCTTGGCTTACATTCTCTGTTGCTCTAAGAGCAAATTTGGGACAAAAATTTTGAGATCAAACTAGAAAGGCCCCTGCACAGCAAAGGAAACCATCAACAAAATTAAAAGGCAATCTACTGAATGTGAAGAAATATTTGCAAACTATGTATCTTATAAGGGGTTAATGTTCAAACATGCAAAGGACTCATACAACTCAGTAGCAAAAGCCACAGATTTGATTTAAAAATGGGCAGGATTTAATAGACATTTTTTACAAAGAAGATATACAGATGGCCAACAGGAACATGAAAAGATATTCGACACCACTAATCATCAGGGAAATGCAAATCAAAACCACAATGTAATATCATCTCATACCTGTTGGAATGGTTATTATCAAAAAATGAGATAACAAGTGTTGGCAGGATGTGGAGAAAGGGGAACCTCCTACACTGTTGGTGGGAATGTAAGTTGGTGCAGCCACTGCAGAAACAGTATGGAGGTTTCCCAAAAAACTGAAAATAGAAATACCATATTCCTGCAGTTCCACTTTTGGGTATTTATCTAGAGAAAATAAAAACACTAACTTGGAAGTATGTATGCACCCCTTGTTTATTCAGAATTATTTAACATAGCTGAGATATGGAAACAACCTAACTATACATCAATTATAAATGGATAAAGAAAATGTGGTATATATATACAATAGAATATTAATCATAAAAAAAGAATGGAATCTTGCCATTTGAGACAAAATGGAATTTGAGGGCATTGTTAAGTGAAAACTATCATATGACCTCATTTACATGTGGAATCTTAAACAAACAAACCACACTTACACCAGGATCTAGTGGGATTTATTCTGGAATGAAAAGTTGATTCACTATATGAAAAATGGTCAATGTAAACACCACGTTAACAGAATAAAGCATAAAAGACATATGATCATGTCAATCGATACAGACAAAGCACTTTACAAAATTCAACACACTTAAAAAAAAGAATAGAAGGAAATCAGCTCAACATAATAAAAAACGTATATGAACAACACACAGCAAACATTCAGATTCAATGACAAAAAAATGAAGTCTTTTCTCTAAGATAAAAAATAAGACAGGATGCCCACTTTTGTCACTTTTATTCAACATGGTACTGGAAGTCCTAGGCAGAGAAATTAGGAAAAAATTAAACAAGTAAAAAGAATTCAAATTTGAAAATATGCTTATCTCTTTTTGCAGACAATATGATCTGACATATAGAAAATTCTAAAGATTCTGGAAAAAATTGTTTGAATAAATGAATTAAACATGTAGTAAGATATGAAGTTAGCATACAAAAATCAGTTGCATTTCTATATACTAATAATTAACAATCCAAAAATGAAATTAAGACAATTTAATTTAAAATAGGATGAAAAAGAATAAAATAATTTAGGAATTAACTTCACAAAAAAGGTGAAAGATTTGTACAATGAAAACTACAAAATACTGAAATCAAAGAAGACATAAATAAATACATCACAAGTTTGTGAATTAGAAGAAATATTGAAATGTCAATATTACCCAAAGTGATTTAAAGATTCAACAAAATCCCTATCAAAATCCTAATGGCCTTTTTCACAGAAATAGAATAATCTGTCCTACAATTCATATGTAATCTCAAGCAACACTGAATAGCCAAAACAATCTTTAAAAAGAACAAAAGCTGGATGACTCATTCTTCCTATTTTCAAGTCTTACTACAAAACTACAGTAATCAAAACAAAATGCCAC